CCATAAGGTGAGAAGATGCCCCAAAACAACAAAACTCAGACACAGCGCACGTCCCGCTCAACTTGTGCTGCCTCATTCAACTCACCATACCCGCATATACAACACTCTAAACCCGAGGACCGTAAACCCTAAAGCTACCCGCCGCTAGCTCTGTAATAAGAAAGGCCAGTGAGGCTAAGGAAGCAGCAGAAGCAGTAGGAGTAGCAGAAACGGCAGCAGCAAGCAATGCAGTCGGTTTAACGAAGGGCACGCCGGCAGCCACGCATCGGCTGCTTTACGTGTATCTGTGTTATGAGTGGGGTATTCTTTTTGGGGTGATTGGGGCTGTGCACAGAGCGGGAGATGAAGTGACGCTGACGTACTTGTCAGAAGACGATATGCTGCGTAACACCTCACACCGGCGACAGCTGCTTGAAGGCGCAAAGGACTTCAAGTGTATGTGCGAGAGGTGAGGATACACCTGAAACTATGTACTGCGTTGCGCGGTGTACAAGTAAAGTGGCATGTGTTGGTTGAGAATTTTCAGGTGTACGTCCCCCGTGGATTTCTCCCGAGGCTTCCGCTGCCCCCGGTGCCGCTCAGGCGTTGTTTATGTGCAGTGAGCCTCCTTTCTCTCACGAAAAACGCACCAGCAGCAGCAGCATCACCCAGTAATATATATATATATATATATATATATATATATATATATATATATATATATATATATATATATATATGTTATTATAATATATATATATATATATATATATATATATATATATATATATATATATATATATATATATATATATATGATATATATATATATATATATATATATATATATATATATATATATATATATATATATATATATATATATGGCGCCCCTCTGCCTGCTTGCTGTATTGTGAGCAGCGCGGATGAGACGGGGGACGAGGAGGAGTTTGGAGGTGCTCTGCTGAGAGCGCCGACGACATCTGCACCAGTTACTGAGGAGCAGCGGCAGAGACAGGGCAGCAACAGCGCGTCGCACTCACCTATTCCAGAGGAAAGATCCCCCGACACTTGGAGGCAGCCGTTGGGGCCGCAGTCGCTGTACCCAGAGACGGCGCGGGGTTCAGCCGACTGGTCTGGGGGCAAAGAAACCCCAGCAGAGGCCGCCACCAACTTGAGCCTCCATACAATTTGGGCACGGCTGTTGGCAGAGCTGAAGAACGATACAGCAGTGCAGGAGCACGAGACAGACGCTGCATCTGTAGCTGATGCTGGAGCAGCTGCAACCCCGGGGACTTCACCGTTTTTCAGCAAAACGAGCGGAATAGTATCGACCCAGGTTGCAGCGCAGGTGCTGCAGGGCGCCAGGAATGGCTGCTGCTGCAGCTGTCGCAGGCGGTGGAGAGACAGTGAACGGCTGCGAGCCCTGGCTGTGGAAAGAATCCTTGAGGACGTCTTCAACAGTTTAGATAATCCTGAATCTGAAATTCGTGATGGTGCAGATAAGTCCCCCGCAAACAGCCTCTCGGGTGTTTCTGGGGGCTCAGACAGAGACAGTTGTACTGCTAGCAGCAACAGCAATGACTCAGGTGAGAATATATTTTGGTTAGTCTAGGGAAACGTACAGCAGCATGAGCTGTTTGTTGCATCCGCCAGAGTGCGTAGCAAGCTGAAGCCCGGGTTTTGCTTGCGGGTTTATTCTGCTTTCTGTTTCGGTGTTCTGTTGCGCGGGTCACACAGATGCCCGAGCCCACGAGTTGCTGCAACGGCTCGAACCAGATGAGCTGCTGCACATTGTAAAGAAGAAATGGAATTTGCTGGAGAAAAACGAGAGACGCGTCGTTGACGCCATCATAAAGCTTACATTCAACAAGCACTGGTCAGACGCCCACCGTTATACACCCACGTCACCGCCGGCTTCTTTTTTATGTTTAGATAGGTTGTTTAGGCTTCAGGGGCTAGGGGATAGGGCTTGATGCGTATTACATATGCACAGAGGTGCTATGTTTTCATTTTCTCTCTGTTGTACACTCAGTGTGCTCACGCCCTCTACCTATTGTTTCATAGTGACGTGGGTGGTTTGAGAGCCGTGCTGCACAGTGGTCCGTTTTCTTAAACCTCAGGCTTGCTGCCCAGTGGTATCGGTTCTTGGAGTCTATCTCTTCACCTCGGCGGAAGCTTCTGTATCTAGACCGCTTAATATGGCAATACCGCAACCTCTACCCTGGATTGACGCCTGCACTTGCATGGGCTATATGGGACGTAGCGCAGGCGTTATTTTCTCTGGGGGTGAGTTTGTATGCATTTTCATTTACTTCGTTTTCTGTTTTAGGACACTCTGTACTTTTTCGCTATCTCTTTCACTCTAGTGTGGTGTCACTGCTGCAGGAGAACTCCAAGCTCAGGAAATGCGCGGGCTTCAGGCGTTTCGCTGACCTCTGCATTCTCAGTTCTTACACAGAGTCCGTGTTCATTTTGACGACTCTCTTTGGACCCGACGGCTCGTTCCCATCTTCCATTGTCAACAGCTACGCAGACTCCGTGAAGGAGTGCTTGGAAAGGTTGACAAGGCAGACGGCCCCAAGACTGCCCAGGACAACCGAGCCGTGTGGAGGTTGCTGCGCCAGTCAGTC